TCATATAAAATATTTTGCATATAGCATAATTATTTATGTAATATATTGTATATTAACATAATTATATTTATTTTTTCATTATTTTATTTTTTTCTTATTTCAAATATATTATTAACAATTTATCTGTATATATTTTTTATTAAAATACATTATTTTGGATTATTATTTATTGGCTACATATGTATCAATGAGTTAGAGAGAGAACGAAAAACGAGAGTGAGCGAGAGAAAAGTTTAAATGGCGTTACCGACCAATTTACTTATTTCGCGCATGCGCACTCCGTTTTGGCCAACACTAACATCAAAGGTGCCGACAGGGGGTTGCGCTACTGTATATACTGTGGTATTAATATGCGAACAGAGCGCGATAATGTGAAGCATGAATATCTTTCGTTCATATAATATCTAATAATCGAACGTATGTCTTACAATCGTTTTAAATATTTTTTTGAACGACTATGTGATTTTCTTACATCTCATAATTTGCATACGCGTGTTTAGTTTTTCTCATGATCTTTTCTTAGGATTTTCTTTTATGATTTCTTTTATAACGTCTGTTACGCAAGAACATAACATGCTGTATAAATTATCAACTATTGAAGTACCTCATGGTTTATTATAGATCGAAAATGGACGTATAAAGACTTGTACATAAACTATATAAAAGAACGAAAAATAGATTAAGAAGTATGGATAATTCAGAGATAGATGCTTGTTTTTTTTACTTAAGAGCAAGCTTGGAATTCAGCAATATATATAGATTCTTATATCAAATTTATTTTATATATGATTCTCTTTTGTTCTATTCTGTTCTATTAGTTCTGTACATTTCTAATTTTTTATAATTTTTTGGCACTGTTTCTACATCTATAAATGTGAGACACTTTCTGTTCATTTTTTGAACCAGAATGACGATGATTTTAAAGCTTGAAATATGAATATTAGACCAACGTTAATTCAGTCAATCTTTGGGGTACTATCTAGTTAGATTAGCGCGTGTCATTTTCAGTTTTGGACATCATGGTGCTTTACCTGGTTCTCAGATAGCGAGTACGATGTTTCAAGCCTCGATCATTCACTGTAAGGTACATGACTTTTCACATTTTCCTTGAACTCTGTATAATAACGTTTTTATTCAGAGGCCATAATAATCACGTATTTGAAAGTCGTTAAAGCGTTCTTATTGTGCTACGCAATGTTCATGCGTAATTTGCAATGTACTCCGCGCACATATATCAAAATTTTCTGTCTCCGCTCACTTCTTTTTATTATATTTTCTATGTTTTAATAGCGTAATAAGCTGCGGTTTCATTATGTAATCGTCGTCAACGTGTTTATGTGTTTGTTTGTGTAATGTAAAGGATTTTCAATTTTATTTTTTTATTTTTTTTTTCAGTATCCATCGTCGTGAAGTACGCGTGAACGTGATGCTTGACTGAGGGATTGTCAATCTATTGTCTACGTTGTACATAAATATTCTGTTCCCACAAACTAATTATATGTATTATATTTAATATAAATTAGTCTCTCTGTATATATAAATATATCTTCTATTATTTTTGTGTAAATCTCGTTATATTTTTATATATTATACCATCGTAAAGATTGTATTTGCTTATAGTAATATTGTACAAAGAAATAATTGAAAAATAACAGCAATATATTCAGTTTGTAACTTTTACATGGATATATAAAAGTTAGAAACAGAATACATAGCCTTTAATTATTTCACATTATCGAGAAGATTATCTTTATTTATGTAAGAGCATTATTTAGCATAAATTATTTCTTTTATTCTATTCTATTGTTTTTTTGTGTTATATTTCCATGTTTTTGAATAAAATAATATGTGAAAAAGATTCTTGTATACTATGTATCATAAAGTTGTATCATAAAATATCCTTTGTCAAACATTAATCTTATAGCTTGGTATATCAATGTTAAAAAATATAAAATGATATGCGTATCAATAATTCTTCTTTATCGTATATTTTGTTCGAGAAATGCAAGTATGTATCGTGAGTCTAATCTGCACAAATTATGCTATATCTTAGCAAATTTTAACAAGCTTATATTGGCAGTTATAAAGATTTTGTCTTAAAACATGCAAATCTTTTGTGTTGAAAAACAAAGCTTATCTCGCGTATCTAAATATCACGGCTATCAGATAACTATTCTGGATTGATGTCTGCAACTTGATGTAAGGTTTGCAACACATTACTTTATATTAATTAATGTAAGACATAGTAATATTTAAAATTCTTATGATTTTTGAATGTACATATAGCAATAAATATGCATAATTATTTATTTATTTTTAATATTATTTTCACACAACATTAATAAATTTTTTAAAATTTATTTTTGCTTTATATCTTGAAAAAAGAATCTTGTAAAACATTAATATTTATTTTTGAAAAAGTAACATAGATTAAGATCAATAAATAATATAAAGTAACATAAAATAAGTAAATTTTTCTTGCATATTTAAAATGTTTATTAAATAGCAATTGATTGTAGAAATAAATGGGTATAAACATAATACGTGCAGAGAAAAAACTTCGAGCTATCGAGCCAGGAAGTTACACATAATTAATTCTTTAATTTCATTGGTCGATGTAACTCATTAAATTTTGCAATGGAAAACAAATGCGTTATAGAGCGTTATACATGACAAGCTTTATATAATGCGGTGACCTACAAATTGCAATGAGCGTGCGAGACGATTCATAATCAGTTCAAAATAAACGATTTGTTAAAGGCGTCATCACCAAAGATGACATTTACGCCAATGACTTTTAGTGACAAGCATCGCTGTATTATTATAATACATAGTCTTTAATTGTCATCTCTCTCACAAGATGTGTGTTATAAATCGTTTAGCAATCAAAATTTGTATAAAAAGAAAGGAATGTAATTGGAGTATTTTTAATTTGCTATTTAATATTTCTATCACTCGTTTGTGTCGCATTTTCTGGATAGCTATAGACACTCACGGGATATTAATACCACTGATTAATGCTAACACAATGATCAGTAAATTATTTTATCAATTATCAGTTTGTGGCATTAAAAATTTCTGTATGTTTAAATCATATTGAGAAGAAAGTACAGTTGAAGGGTAAGGGCAAAAGCATAATCTGTTTAAAATTTTCATCGATTCGCGTAATTTCAGAATATAAAGAAATTTATAGAGAACTCTGTTTCTTTGATTAAAATTATTTAAAGAGAATCTATATCTCGCATATCAATTAAGAAAGACTAAAATATATTTTTTAATATTTTTAAAATATAAAATTTATTATACATCTCCTTGCTTTTCGGAGCACCCGCCTTCGGAAGCTTAGCCTTCGTAAAAGACTTTGCGCATGTGTGATGCATTGCAGTGTGCTCTATCAGCTTTATCATTTCCCACCGCCTCGGAGTAGTCTCGTAGGGCAGCTAGTAGAATTCCGATGATTACTAATGTTGAACGGTTGTCCGTTTGTACAGTGGACGTGGGGAGACACGGACTTCGGAGTATATGTCGAAGTCATTCTTCAGTCCCGTTTCAGTCGTATCGCGACATCCGCATTTACCAGTTCTCGTGTGGAACCAAGTCGGAGCGTTTTCACGACCGGCGTTTGTCAGTCAACACGACCGACCGGCTGACGCTGGCGCCATTTCGTAGACTGTTGATTATCGAGTTGAAGGAAGACGAGAAAACGTGCGGAAAATAATAATGTCAGAATTCTACCAGGTTGTTATCACCGCGCTGAGCCTCCTGCTCGCCGGCTTTCTCCTTACCGGAAGTCGTCGGCAAGTTATGTACGTGCTCTACAAGACGTTGCCTAGAGATCTTTTGTGAGTATAAATAAATGTAAAGATACATGGGCGGGAGAGAGGATAAATACATATGCTCTATTTAGCGCATAGTTAGATACGAGTTTAGATATGCTATCTTTTCAAATACACAAGATAGGGAACAGGTTAGAAGACATTTGGAGATGTAATTTATTTTTTGTATGAGTCCTGTTATTTATACTTTTTCTTATTTTTATGTTTTTCTCTTTTTCTCTCTCTTTCTCTTTCTGGGGAATTTTCTCTATGGTCTAATTCAAAATATGAAATGATGATAATTGTTCTATCTTTTCCAACATGTTTGCTCCAAAATGTATGTGTTTGTTAATATTAATAATACAATCAAGTAAAATAAAAAAAATATATATATATATATTTGTATATTTATATTAATGCATATAAATTTAATTTCTTGATAAAATAATTGTTATAGATTATGTAATTAATAAAATATATATGTATGAGATGTTTCAGAAATAGGTGATCAAATTTTAAGAGCATATTCTATTCTATTTACCATAAGAATGATAAAAAGTCATATGAACGTGTGCGTCCAAGACAACATGCCTCGCATCGACGACTTATGCATTGTTCTTCTCTCTTTCTCTTTCTATTTATCTTCTGTTAAAAGGAAATCAATAATAGTATTTGTATTGAATGGGTCTGTTTGGAATTAGAATCAACGTAAACTCTCGTTTATAATACTCCTGTTGCTACTGTAGGGGTACTTCGATTATTATCGCTTCGTGTGACAAAATATAAAATATTTCGGAAATTTTTGAACGTCTTCGACAATCCATGAGACGTTGATGCAGGAAATCATTTTTAACAATTCCTGTAATAAAATATTCTTACTAAAATCTGTTGCAAATAAAAAATGTTTACAATTTGGAAAGGAAGTGTTTTTAAACTCACGTTCATATGAATCTCTCTCTCTCTCTCTCTCTCTCTCTCTTTGTTTCATCTAAAAATATATATTATATAATTTTCTTATGTATTGAAGAATTTTCGCGCATGAATGCTCGGAGTATTTCACCACATATAGCCGCGTTTAAAGTTACAGGAGCTTTCGTGTTTTACATTATGTTATGGATTAATAATTTGCGTTCATTGCCCGGGATGCATGATTGCTCGTTGCATTCGCTTTAATGCTTCGTTTGACGTTGGAATGCAACGCGCGTGAAAAATAGGGTCTCTAACGAGGGTTCTCCAAGAACTCTTTATTTTTTTATTGCATTATAACTTCCCATATTGGAATAATTTGTATAATTTAATTTGTGCATTATTAGCACCTATAACTATTGATTGATTTAATAATATCTTATATATACGTCGATAAAGAGATACAAATTTAAATTACTTAAAATATTTATAATATTATTTTTACATTATATAAAAGTTGCTGTCTTTTATATTTTATTCAATTTTTTTAATACGCCATTTTGATATTTGATGCTATTAATCAAAAAAGTAATAGGTTATTCAGATAAGTTTATTTAAGGAAATAGAGAGAGAAAGAGAGAGATAAGATAATAGTCGCAAATATATTCAGATAGATACCAATTAATATTTTCAAATGATAAATTATATTGCCCTTTGCTCTACATTATCACACATATATTTTATACTTTAAGATATGTTTCTTACAATTTATAAGAGATAGTATATAATACTCGTATATTTTTTGATCTTATAAAAGAAATGTTTTTAAGTTAATAGCTTAAGTTTTTATTCAAAGCTTTTCAAAATGTTAAGTTGCTTTGTCTTGCTTTTAAATTTGTCAATTTTTGTGTTATTTTAAATTAATTTTTGCATGAATACATGCACAACATTCCAACAGAGATAATGGTATATACGATACGAGTATCACGTGCGGAACAATCAATCTCTAATTGCTTTTATTTCAATAATGTATTATACATATATTATGTGCATTGTATTGGTCATACGGAATATTACGTGCCGTTGGTGCAAATATCGCATTACGAGAGTTATATGCATATGAGTTATGTGCTTTTTATTTATAGCACTAAAGGATAAAAAAAATTCACATAACATTAACTCAACGCTTTCGTATTGTGGGAAATAAATAGACGTATCTTTGTTTTCTGCTCTGTTTAAATTGTTAACATGCAAAGTATATAAAAAGATCTTCACGTACAAAATTTTATAAAGTTAATTAGCAAAATTATTTTCTAACTGCAAAAAAAAAAAATATGTTTGTTTGATATTATTATTATAACAAAAATTTAAATTTAAATTATTAAATTTTACACTTTGTCTGTGATATTACAAAAATTTATTATTTTATCAATTATATTATTATTTAGAATTATATATAAATTGATAATAAATATTTTTCGATGTGTTTATTAATAAAATTATATATTGATATTTAATTACAAGGTAATCAATAATAAAAATTTAATAATAAGTAACAGTTTAATCTAAAGCTTTAATATTTTAAAAAAAATAAGAAACATAGAATTGATTATGATAATTGAGAAATTACGATCGGATTTTTAAAGATATCTTACGCAGAAATTGCAACGGTAAATTCACATTTTTCACATCTTGCCACGTATTAAACTAGCAATAATAGAGCAATTGCATTCGCGTGACATACGACATGCATGTCGTATAGGGATATTAACCAATTGCAAAGAGAGAAAAAGATATTATGTGAGGCAAGCGAAGAACGTATTATTAATTAAAAAAATATGGAACGTTACTTTTTGCCATTCTTTCTCTTTATTTTCTTCTTAGAAAAAAAATGTCGAAGAAATCGATACATAGTCATTCCTTTCTTCGCAAGTTATATTTAATTTTTTAATTCCCATTTTTTTCCAAAGTAATTAATATTACATCAGATTATAAAAGAAGAAGATAAAAAGAAAAAGAGAAAAGACAAAAGTGAAAGAATATAAATTAACAATAAATTCATTATAAAAGTAATAAAATATTAAATTTTAAACAATAAATAGAATATATTACCATTTCATTCAACAAAAAAGTTGATTGACATATTACGATTAGAGCAAGAAAGTTATCGATAAGTGATACGTAAAAACTCTATACGCAAAAATTAAGATTATAAGCCAAATTAAAAAAATATTTTTTCATTAAATTACATTAATAAAATGTAAACTGATTTTTGTACCTTTGTGTAGAGGTGCTTACCGATTTCTTCAAGTCAATGTTCTTCTTTGGTGGTGGGAAAAGCGTGAATACACCGTCACGAAAGTTTTCTCAAAATATGCAGCAGCTCATCCGAAAAAGATTGCTTACATATTCGAGGATAAAAAGTGGACATATGAAGAGGTAAGTTCAGTCAAGAGGTAGGTCGTTTGCACTCGTACGTGTGCACTGTACTGCGCATTTAGCACTTGTGTCAATCATGGTCAAGGCAAACCTATTAAATTTAATTGATTGCTGCAGTGATTACAGTTTCAATACATATAAATGCAAAATTTTTACTCAGTCATAGTTTAAAAAAGAAGAATTTATATAATAATTAGACAATAATTTCAAAAGTTAATAAATTCGTCAAGTTTTAAGAGTTAGAATGCCAGTTAGAACAAATTTTTTTAATACGCTTTTCAAAGATGCATTGCGTTTAGAAAATAAAAGGAAAGCGATCAAAAATATATGCTAGATGAAAAACATTATTTGCCTTACTCGCAAATTATTAAAGTGATGATAGTATAAATATTATATTATATTAATATAATAATCGTTTTAACGTTCTAATGACATACATACAGCTGGAGCACTTCAGCAATCGTATCGGACGTTACTTTCGCACCAGACCGTTTTCTCACTTCGACAGTATAGCTGTGGTTATGGAGAATTGTCCTGAATACATCGGTATATGGTTGGGCCTCAGCAAGGCCGGTTTCGTGGCGGCCCTCATCAATACCAACCTCCGTCATGACATGCTCCTACATAGCATTAATGCTGCCGGTTGTAAAGCTATCATCTTCGGGTCTGAATTCAAGGATGGTAAGACCTTTTTTTATTTACATTGTAAATGGCTAAATTTCCGTGACTTGAAAGCAGGAAGAGGGCAAGATCTCATTTGTAAGCATGGAACATATATTTGTTTGCTATTCACTTGCTAAAACGAATTATAAAATGAAAACCATGTGACATCTATTTTGTTTCACATAATTATCTTTACTGTACAGAATCACTTTAAAAAATTTTTATATACATCCTATATTTAACACATTTCATTTAAAGAGAAATACGTATTGTATTACATTTTCGTGAGACACTTGATCGTAAAATATGGTGTACTAACAATAAATATATCGCATGCGATGACAGTTTTTATGCATGACACATTACACGATATGTAATCACACGGTTTCATATCTCCTGCGTAAAGAATATACGAAAATGAGACAATTGTATCTTTTCTTAGAAAAGTAAAGATTGTTTCTCGATATATCAGAGTCACTTTATAAATATTGAAATACTTTTGCAATTGCACAGCTTTGCGCGGATCAAGATCTATAAATAAAATTTCAATATTGCGTCACCCTTAATCTTTCAATATTTTTATTCGTGTCTCTCAATTTTCGTAATCAAATTTCGTAATAAAATTTTTTTCTGGCAAATACAGCTTTCTAATAAACTCTCTATTTGTAAATGGTAAACTCAAAACTCGTTTACATTGCTTATCGAAGCGTATCGTGTGCAGCGATTCGTGACATTAAGAGTAAAATACCCGACATCGGACTTTACCAATGGTCGGAATCGGCGGACACACCGGTTCTAGAAGAGGCGACAGATCTCAACACGGGAATGAGTAGCATTGATTCCGGACCCCTCATCGTCCAACTTGACTTGAGCAGTCCCCGGGACAAATTGATTTACATCTATACGTCTGGCACAACGGGAATGCCG